GGTTTTATTTCCCCTGGTGACAGCTATTTAGCCTCAGGAATACTTCCTTCTATAGCAGTCCCTCCAAAATGCATTGTAGATGTGGTTTGTGTGAGGTTAATTCTCTCAGCTTTTGCTTATCTGAAAATTATTTAATCCCTCCTTCAAATTTAAATGATAATCTTGCCAGGTAGAGTATTCTTGGTTCTAGGCCCTTCTGTTTCATTGCATTAAATATATCATCCCACTCCCTTTGGGCCTGTAAGGTTTCTGTTGAGAAGTCTGATGATAACTTGATGGGTTTTCCTTGGTATGTGATATTTTTTCTCTCTCTGGCTGATTTTAAGTCTGTCCTTATCCTTGATCTTTGCCATTTTAATTATTATATGTTTTGGCATTGTCTTTCTTGAGTCCCTTGTGTTGGAATATCTATGGAGCTGCATTGCCTGAGAGACTATCTCCTTCCCCAGATTGGGGAAGTTTTCAGCAATTACCTCCTCAATGACACTTTCTATCCCTTTTTCTCTCTCTTCTTCTTCTGGTGCCCCTATAATGTGAATATTGTTTCATTTGGATTGGTCACAGAGTTCTCTCAATATTCTTTCATTCTTAGAGATCCTTTTTTCTCTCTGTGCCTCAGCTTCTTTGTATTCCTCTTCTCTAATTTCTATTCCATTTACCGTCTCTTCTACTACATGTAATCTTTTAAATCCTTCCATCATGTTTCATTTCAGATATGGAATATCTTAATGATTGAATCTCCATCGTAATTTCATCCCCAAGTTCTTGAGTATTTTTCTGTACCTCCATGAGCATGTTTATGATTTTTATTTTGAACTCTCTTTCAGGAAGATTGGTGAGTTGTTTCATTTGGCCCTTTTTCTGGTGTTTGTGAGATTTTTGTTTGAACCAGGTTCCTTTGACATTTCCTATTTGTATGTGGAGCCCTCTAGTTCCCAGAAGTTCAAGTCTCTGGAGCTGCTCAGCCCCTGGAGTGATGATGGGGTTCGCAAGGGAGCGGTGCTGGTGCCTGAGTGGAGGAAAGAGACGTGTCCTGCTTCCCGGCTGCAGTGCCTGCCTCCACTGTCAGAACCAGTGGGCCGAGCACACAGGAGTAAGCCTCTGTGCTTTGCATCTGTAGTTGCCATAGGTGGGTTATCCCTCTGGCTGGCCTGACACCAGGGCAGGGACTGCTGGTTTGCGATCTGGTGCCAGCCTGCCAGCAGGAAGGCTCTGCAGGCTGCATGTCACAGTGCGGGGACTGGGAGCTGAGTAGCCAGCCGGGGGGATGGAGCACCTGAAGCTCCTCAAAGTTCCCAACCTGCTGGGCAGAGCGCTCCCAGACAACCTTGTCCACCTATCCCTTCTTCCGCACAGCAGGCTCCATGAAAATCCCGCCCCTTCAGCAGCCCTCTTGCTGCTGGGAAGCCTCTCAGACCACCCGCCTTTCCTTTGTCCCAGAGCAGCCGGATGTGAATCCTCATCCTCCACAAAGGGCTTGAATCTCAGTCTGTCCAAGTATTCTTCCTGTCTTAGCTTTCCAACCCTACTAAGCTGCAGAGCACCATGCAATGTAGGTTTGTGCTCCAAAGCAGATCTCCAGGGCTGCGTGTTCAGCAGTCCTAGGTTTCCACCCCATCCCTGCTCTGTTTCTCTTCCTCCCACCAGTGATCTGGGGTGGGAGAAAGGCTTGGGTCCCACTGGATCCAGGCTTTGGTACGTTACCCTGTTTTGTGAGGTCTGGTCTTTTCTTCAGGTGTGTGCAGTCTGGTGCAGCCTTCTTTCCTGTTGCTCTTTTAGGATTAGTTGCATTAACTATATTTTCACATTATATGTGGTTTTGAGAGGAGTTCCCTGTCTCACCTCTCACGCTGCCATCTTGAATCCTTGCATCTTGATCTATGTTTTTTTTGTTTTTTTTGTTCATTGATCCATTGATTATTTAGGAACACGTTGTTAAGCCTCCATGTGGTTGTGGGCTTTTTCGTTTTCTTTGTGCAATTTATTTCTAGTTTCATATCTTTGTAGTCTGAGAAGCTGGTTGGTACACTTTCAATCTTTGTAAATTTACTGAGGCTCTTTTTGTGGCCTAGTATGTGATCTATTCTTGATCACATCAAGAATGGAACAGTTGTTCCATGTGTACTTAAGAAGAATGTATATCCCGTTGCTTTTGGATGTAGAGTTCTATAGATGTCTATTAGGTCCATCTGTTTTAATGTGTTGTTCAGTGCCTCTGTGTCCTTATGTATTTTCTGTCTGGTGGATCTGTCCTTTGGACTGAGTGGTGTGTTGAAGTCTCCTAAAATGAATGCATTGCATTCTATTTTCCCCTTTGATCCTGTTAGTATTTGTTTCACCTAGGTAGGTGATCCTGTGTTGGGTGCAGAGATATTTTTAATGGTTATATCCTCTTGTTGAACTGACCCCCTTATCATCATGTAATGCCCTTCTCTCTTATTACATCCATTTTTTGAAGTCTATTTTGTCTGATACAAGTACCACAACTCCTGCTTTTTTCTCCCTATTAGTTGCATGAAATATTTTTTTCCATCCCTTCACTTCTAGTCTGTATGTCTTTGGGTTTGAAGCAAGTCTCTTGTAGGCAGCATATAGACAGGTCTTGGTTTTTATCCTATCAGTGACTCTATGTCTTTTGTTTGATGCTGTTAGACCATTTACATTTAGGGTGATTATTGATAGGTATGTACTTAGTGCCATTGCTGGCTTTAGATTTGTAGTTACCAACGGTTCAAGGGTAATTCCCTTACTATCTAAGTCTAATTTAACTCACTTAGTATACTATCACAAACACAACCTAAAGGTTCTTTTTTTTCTTCCTCCTCCTCCATTCTTTATATATTAGGTATCATATTCTGTACTCTGTCTATCCCTTGACTTACTTTGGGCATAGTTGATTTGATTTTGCTTTTGTTTAGTAACTAATTATTCTACATTCTTTACTGTGATTTTATTTCCTCTAGTGACAGCTATTTAGCCCACAATGCTGATCTTAATTTGAATTTGTTGTCTAATTAATGAATGCACGAAATTCTAGATTCTACTGAGAGAACATGCCTCTTACATAAACCTGGATATGCATTAGCATAGCAGCCTTCAGAACCCAGGGTAAAAGGCAAGAAGAGAAAAGATTAACTTAGGCTTTGGAGGAGTGAACTTGTTCATTTCTGTGTGTGTGGCTTGGGCATGAGGTGAGTGGCAGGAGGCTTGGGCAGGGAATGGTAGTCCTAGGAGGCTTTTCCATCTAATGTTAAGCAAAGTACTTGATGTGGTTCCAAAAGTATGGTCTTCTAGCCACCAAAATCAGAGCTCTCTGAGGAGCTTGTTAAAATATAGACTCCTGAATCCTACCCCAGGCTTACTGAAACAGACTGCTAGTAAGGCCTAGAATGTGTATTTTTAACAACTTTTGCAGGATGCCACTGGCTTGTGGTTTCTGAAAGAACTTAATGAGAGCAATTTTTCTGTGTTCAAGTCAGGAAGAGAAACAACTCTTTCTCAGAATCTTTTCTCAGATGACCAGCTTTAGACAAAGAATGGAAACACAATTTAGAGAAAACAATGTTCCTTTTTCCAATTATGAATGTATTTGCCACTCCCTATAGGCCAAATGAGAAAAACAATAATGCTCAAAAGCATTAAAAGATTTAAAAGACTGGGTGATTGATCCATCCATGAGGTCAAAGTTCAAAAACAGTGAGGCATAATTCTCTAAGCCAAGCAGTTCATAGTGGATTTAAGGGAGTTGTTGATCTCTTTTCCAAAGTTTAATGGCTAACTAACCAGGACTTCAGATCTGACTAGAGCTTCCCAGGTTGAGCTCTGGGGAAAGTATATGTAGGGGGTCTTAGGACAATCCTTTCATTCCTTCAACAGACACTTATTTTAGCACCTATTATTTGGCAGGCACTACAAAAGGTGATGGAAGGGTAGATGTAACACCCAGCTGACCTCTGGGCTACAGCAATGCCTGCAGGAGAGAACCACCACAGGATGGAAGACTGACTCTCCTGTGAGTTTAAAAAGTCATCTGGAATGGACTGTAGAATCCTAACCGAAGGAAGACACAAGAGAATTAACCACCTTTTCAGGAACATCAACCATGTTCAGATTCACATTATCTCGTTTAACTTCACAGCAACTTTTGTTAGCTGTCATCTCTACTTTATCTCCAGAGTACTACAGCTGATTTGTAAAAACAAAAACAAAAACATTGCCTATAAGGAATCTTTAAAATAATAGCTTCTTAAGGCTCCTCCAGACTACTAAAACTGAATCTCTGGTGATAAGGTAAGGGAGGGGATTCCCTGCAAAGAGGAAATTTTATAATAAAGTTCCTCAACTGATTTTGTGGAGCCAAGTTTGGAACCAATGCCCTACTCTATACTGCTTGCCCAGGCAGTGGCTCCCCGACCTTGCAAACTGTAAGCCCTCAAATTCTTCATTACCCTCAGTCTTGGCAAACGCCTATTTTGTCCAAAATCAAGACTATCAGGGCTCTAAAATGCTATGGAGAGGAGAGTTGCATTTTCGCATGTACCATGGACTGTACCAAGGTGCGGGGGCGGCGGCGCGTCAAGATAGGCTGGGTGGCACTAACCCCAAAAGGAGCTGAGAAACTTTGAAGATCAACCGCAAAGGCAATTTCTTGTCCCCTTTAAGCCGTCAAAGGGGCTTACTTACTGCATCCCACAGCCGCAACAGATCGAAGATGGAGTCCACATCCCCAGACCTACCCCCATCCTCCCCAACGTCCTCCGTTCGTGTTCAGCCATTAGCGAAAGAGAGACTCATCAAGACTGCATGACAGCGGAGGACCCCGGGTATTTGGGCCGAGAGTGGTGAAGAGCCCAACTCCACCCACTACTCTACCCGATCGAGTAAGTGCAGCTGGGGAGCGGGGGGAGTGCGGGGGTGGGGCAGGGAAAATGGCAGCCCGGGCCCGGCTCCGAACGGCTGCTTCCCAAGCTCTGAAATTCCCGGGCGCCCCGCCCCCCTAGGGCTTGCCCTCCGGTCTCCAAGGCGTCGCGCCGGAAGTGACCTCAGACGGTGGCGAGGAGACGCGGGGAGCTTCCGGCGGCGGTGACCGCGGCTGCGGGGGTGAGTGTGAATCCCCTCATTCTCTGGGTTATTTGGTGTTGCGCGTTCGGCTTGGCGTGGTGTGTGGAGAAGGCGCAGGCCAGACGGCGTGGAGGTGGGAGCGAGGGCAGGCGGCCGGTTTGTGGGTGCTCGTGGGAGGGGGCTTCCGGGTTTGCAGACGTGTTTGCTTTTAGGCTTCGGGGTTCCAGGCCTTTCAGTCCTTCGTAGAGGCGGGCAGGAGCTGCGGGCCACATCGGGTGCTCAGGGGCCAGGTACCAGGGGTATGATTGGGGGCGCGAGGCTGAGCACAGGAGGATTCCTGATAGTTTGGGAACTGTGCAGGGTGTGAGGCATAAATGACCCAAGGCGTAGCCTAAGTTTTAGCACTGTTTATGGCTGCTGCAGCTCGCCCACCCATTACTCCATGCCTCACTTTACTTTTGCACAATGGTCTAGGGTGGCGGGGCGAGCGAATGCCACATCCACGACTGATAGCTTGAGGACAGAGGTGAACTGAGGTCTGAGAGGGAAAAGTGGCAGAGAAATTAATAATCCCTGCCAGGGTGCAACTTCTGAATCTTGGGGACTTCCCCAGATTCTTCCCTGCGATTGGTGTCGGAGCTTATTATCAGTACTCAGTGTGTGATAGTGAATTTATCGGTAATTGACATGTTGAGTGGTTTGTGTTTTGGTGTGTGGGCAGCATAGTCCTTCCTTGCTTGGCAAGTTGATTTTCAGTGAATGTCCCAATTCAGAGCTCGGTGTCCTAACATCCTGCAGCTGCAGGTGAGGAACATAATTGAAGTAAAGTGGAAAATGTGTCATTTTTCTGTTCTCATCAGCCAGAGGAGCAGGGGTACTAGAGTTCCAAATTCAGCCAGAGCAACAGGACGGGGCTTCCAAATTTGTGTCTCAAAGGAGTGTACTACTGATAGTGAGAGTTTTTCAGAATTTTAGCCAGGCATTTATTCAATCTTTTATGATGACCTGATTGGTAAGATGGAGAATTTACTAGATTGTGGTAAAATTAGATGATCTTTGAACATCTGTCTCTGGAGAGGTTTGATTTATGGACATAACTTACTGCTAGGATTCTGGAGAGCTAATTTGAGGCTTTGTCACTTCCTTTATATACCATATGTATTTTAAGTCTTATCTGAAATGTGTGCTTATCAAATTTGTTGCCTTTATTAAGAGAGAAAGTATCACCTGCTTAATCTCAAGATTTACCCAGTGCAGTTTAATGAATTGGAAGGGTCATATAAAGTGAGGAATTTCACTTGGGTTAAAAAATTCAGTTATATCAGTTAATGATAGTAGAGATGGACCTTAGGAAGGTTTGTGAAATAAAAGGATATGGCATGTCAGTCATGTGAATCAGTGATGTGGTTAGCCTGTGAGAAGAACCGATGTGACCTACAGTAGTGGACATCAGGAGAATATAAAACCTAGAATGCGAAAGGAAGTACCTCACTTGATCCCATCACTGGTTGGCCCACACCTGGGTAATTAGGTTTAGGTTTGGGTATTTTGTAAAAGGAAATTAGTTTTGGGGTGGAAGTTGAATGGAGTCAGAATTTGTCAAATTTTAAAAAGTGGTTTTTTATTGGCAGTCTGAAGATACAGTGCACTTGATTGTCTTGGTGTGAGTGATTCCTTTTCCCCTTGTCATTTCAGGTATATTCAGAATCACTTTGTTAAGAATTTTTGTGTCCATGTACATCAAGTATATTGGTCTTGAGTTTTTTTTTTTTCTTACGATGTTTTTGGCAGAGTCATGCTATCTTTATAAAATCATTTGGGAAAAATGCTCCTTACTCTTTTATTTTCTGAAAGAGTTTATGTAGGATTTTTTTTGTTGTTGTTATCATTAATCTACAATTACATGAAGAACATTATGTTTATTAGGGTCCCCCCTTCACCAAGCCTCCCCCACAAACCCCATTACAGTCACTGTCCATCAGCATAGTAAGATGCTATAGAGTCACTACTTGTCTTCTGTCTGTTGCACAGCCCTCCCCATCCCCCCACCACATTATATATGCTAATCATAATACCCCCTTTCTTCTCCCCCCCCCCTTATCCCTCCCTACCCACCCATCCTCCCCAGTCCCTTTCCCTTTGATAACTGTTAGTCCATTCTTGGGTTCTGTGATTCTGCTGCTGTTTTGTTCCTTCAGTTTTTCCTTTGTTCTTATACTCCACAGATGAGTGAAATCATTTGGTATTTGTCTTTCTCCACTTGGCTTATTTCACTGAGCATAATACCCTCTAGCTCCATCCATGTTGTTGCAAATGGTAGGATTTGTTTTCTTCTTATGGCTGAATAATATTCCATTGTGTATATGTACCACATCTTTATCCATTCATCTACTGATGGACACTTAGGTTGCTTCCATTTCTTGGCTATTGTAAATAGTGCTGTGATAAACATAGGGGTGCATCTGTCTTTTTCAAACTGGGCTCCTGCATTCTTAGGGTAAATTACTAGAAGTGGAATTCCTGGGTCAACTGGTATGTCTATTTTGAGCATTTTAAGGAACCTCCATACTGCCTTCCACAATGGTTGAACTAATTTACATTCCCACCAGCAGTGTAGGAGGGTTCCCCTTTCTCCACAACCTTGCCAACATTCGTTGTTGTTTGTCTTTTCGATGTTGGCCATCCTAACTGGTGTGAGGTGATATCTCATTGTGGTTTCAATTTGCATTTCTCTGATAACTAGCGATGTGGAACATCTTTTCATGTGTCTGTTGGCCATCTGCATTTCTTCTTTGGAGAACTGTCTGTTCAGCTCCTCTGCCCATTTTTTAATTGGATTATTTGCTTTTTATTTGTTGAGGTGCATGAGCTCTTTATATATTTTGGATGTCAAGCCTTTATGGGATCTGTCATTTACGAATATATTCTCCCATACTGTAGGGTACCTTTTTGTTCTATTGATGGTGTCCTTTGCTGTACAGAAGCTTTTCAGCTTGATGTAGTCCCACTTGTTCATTTTTGCTTTTGTTTCCCTTTCCCGGGGAGATATGTTCCTGAAGAAGTCACTCAAGTTTATGTCCAAGAGATTTTTGCCTATGTTTTTTTCTAAGAGTTTTATGGTTTCATGACTTACATTCAGGTCTTTGATCCATTTCAAATTTACTTTTGTGTATGGGGTTAGACAGTGATTCATTTTCACTCTCTTACATGTAGCTGTCCAGTTTTGCCAGCACCATCTGTTGAAGGGACTGTCATTTCCCCACTGTATGTCCATGGCTCCTTTATCATATATTAATTGACCATATATGTTTGGGTTAATGTCTGGAGTCTCTATTCTGTTCCACTGGTCTGTGGCTCTGTTCTTGTGCCAGTACCAAATTGTCTTGATTACTGTGGCTTTGTAGTAGAGCTTGAAGTTGGGAAGTGAGATCCCCCCACTTTATTCTTCCTTCTCAGGATTGCTTTGGCTATTCGGGGTCTGTGGTGTTTCCATATGAATTTTTGAACTATTTGTTCCAGTTCGTTGAAGAATGTTGTTGGTAATTTGATAGGGATTGCATCAAATCTGTATATTGCTTTGGGTAGGATGGCCATTTTGACAATATTAATTATTCCTAGCCAAGAGCATGGGATGAGTTTCCTTTTGTTAGTGTCCTTGTAATTTTCGAGTGTCTTGTAGTTTTCAGTGTATAGGTCTTTCACTTCCCTGGTTAGGTTTATTCCTAGGTATTTTATTCTTTTTGATGCAATTGTGAATGGAATTGTTTTCCTGACTTCTCTTTCTGTTAGTTCATCATTAGTGTATAGGAAGCAACAGATTTCTGCATATTAATTTTATATCCCACAACTTTGCTGAATTCAGATATTAGATCTAGTAGTTTCGGAGTGGATTCTATAGGGTTTTTTTATGAATGATATGTCATCTGCAAACAGGGACAGTTTAACTTCTTCCTTGCCAATCTGGGTGCCTTTTATTTCTTTGTTTTCTCTGATTGCAGTGGCTAGGACCTCTGGAACTATGTTGAATTAAAGTGGGGAGAGTGGCCATCCTTGTCTTGTTCCCAATCTTAAAGGAAAAGCTTTTGGCTTCTCACTGTTGAGTGTAATGTTGGCTGTGGGTTTGTCATATATGGCCTTTATTATGTTGAGGTACTTGCCCTGTATACCCATTTTGTTGAGAGTTTTTATCATGAGGGATGTTAAATTTTGTTGAATGCTTTTTCAGCATCTACGGAGATGATCATGTGGTTTTTGTCCTTCTTTTTGTTGATGTGGTGGATGATGATGGATTTTCGATAGTTATACCATCCTTGCATCCGTAGAATAAATCCTGCTTAATCATGATGGATGATCTTTTTAATGTAATTTTGAATTTGTTTGCTAATATTTTGTTGAGGATTTTTGCATCAATTTCATCAGCGATATTGGTCTGTAATTTTCTTTTTTTGTGGTGTCTTTGCCTGGTTTTGGAATTAGTGATGCTGGCCTCATAGAATGAGTTTATGAGTATCCCCTCCTCTTCTACTTTTTGGGAAACTTTAAGGAGGATGGGTATTAGGTCTTCACTAAATGTCTGATAAAATTCAGCAGTGAAACAATCTGGTTCAGGAATTTTGTTCCTAGGCAGTTTTTTTTATTACCAATTCAATTTCCTCACTGGTAATTGGTCTGTTCAGATTTTCTGTTTTTTCCTGGGTCAGCCTTGGAAGGTTGTATTTTTCTAGAAAGTTGTCAATTTCTTGTAGGTTATCCAGTTTGTTAACATATAATTTTTCACATTATTTTGTAATAATTGTTTTTATTTCTGTGGTGTCTGTAGTGATATTTCCTTTCTCATTTCTGATTATGTTTATGTGTGTAGACTCTCTTTTTTTCTTGATAAGTCTCGCTAAGGGTTCATCTATTTTGTTTATTTTCTCGAAGAACCAGCTCTTGGTTTCATTGATTCTTTCTCTTGTTTTATTCTTCTTGATTTTATTTATTTCTGCTTTAATCTTTATTATGTCCCTCCTTCTACTGACTTTGGGCCTCATTTGTTC